TTGGTGGAACAATAATTATGATTCTAGCTCAAAGTTTTTGTTGTTGTCCAATGTAGGAGATAAGGTTTGAAATTTGTGGCATCAACCCTTGGGATTTGCGGTTTTCTGAATTTCTTCCCTAATAAAATGTGAGAGATTATCTTTGTGATTTATCAGAAGCAGAAAAAGAATTACTGTTAACATGTGTTAGTATTTTGTTATAAAAAATATAAAATTTAAATTTAATTTTATTTGTTAATTTTATTAATGAAATGTTAATGGACACTAACAATCAATTAACAAAATTAACAGTTAGTTAATAAAATTAACAGTCAATTAACAAAACTGACAACCAGTTAACAGAATTAATAAAACATTAAAATTTGATGTTAAATAAGGGTTATTTTTTTTCAATTCGTACATATAAAAGTTAAAAATGTCATAATATAAAGTAAGGGTTAAAACCTATCAACTTTATAAGATAAGAGGTTAAAACTTATTAATTTTATAAAATAAAATACTAAAAATGTTATCCAGCACTCGGTGGCCCAATGACCACCCCTTTGCGAGACGTGTTTAAGACTAAAGAACTTGAGATCAAATCCTAAATCCCTCATTTCCCCTTCTCCCAAAAAAAAATTTACACTGTTTAAAAAAAATACTAAAAATATTATAATTATAAAGTTAAAAGGTAAAACCTATTAATTTTATAAAATAAAAAATTAAATGTTGGTTTTAACCCTAAAAAACGTCCCAAGTACCATTTCCTCAAAAAATTCAATCTAAAAAACCCTCAAAAATTCAATCTAAAAAACATCCCAAGTACTATTTCCTCGAAAAATTCAATCTTAAGAACGTCCCAACTCCCAATTACCATTTCCTCGAAAAATTCAATTTCCTCGAAAAATTCAATCTAAAACGTCCCAACTACCATTTCCTCGGGTTAAGGCCATCTATCGTCCCTCTACTATAAAAAATAGTGCATTCTAAACCTTCTACTATGGATTGGCTTCATGTCGTCCCTCTACTATTAATTAACTCTACCTGTCGTCCCTCTACAATGCAAAACCATGCTAATGTCGTCCCTCCGTCAATGTAAGCTAACGGTGTTTTTTGTTGACCGTTAAGTTAAACAGTCAAACCAGTTAGGACTTTTGTTTTTGGTTGCCACCCTTGTTTGTGGGCCCCTCCCTTGCAAAAAAAAAAAGTTTTATTCAAGATAAATAAAACTAAGGTGAGTTTATCGAGATATACTGTAGTTTTAGCACAAGGAATTCTTAAATTTGCGGGGGTATCATTGATAAATACCTTTTTCTTAGATAAATATAAATAATAAAAAAAAAACGAAGACCAAAAAAATATTAATAAAATATAACGAAACAAATAAAAATCAAAGAACTACTATTCATAAAAAAATGGAAAATGAAAAACGAAAATGAACGAGCGGTTAGGCAAAGAATTAATAGTTTTCAATTTCTCCATTAAAAAAAGGTTTACAATTTCACATTGGATAATGATGGTTAAAAGCAATCTTTGAGACCTCAATTTAAAACGAATTTTAGTAATTATTCATTATGATGTGCATTTTTCATATAAACCCACATAATTAATAGTTATAGAAATTTAATTTCAAAATTTCATCCAAAATTAAATATTAAGAATAAATATACTTTTATATTTCAACCTAAAAAGAGTACAAATATTTATTGTCAGATTATTGAAGGAGCCAAAAAAATGTCAGATTATAAAATTTGAGCACACAAATCTCGTTTTATAAACAAATTAGTCTGATTTTTAAAAAATTAAAACAAAAACACAACTAAAATAATAGTAGTAGAAGTTAGAAATATAGGAGCACATTTCGTTTCTAATTCCCAGCAAATTTGCGACCACGAAGCTAAATATGTGAAAAGATAAATTTAATAACTGGAGTTGATGCAAATAATAAAACAGAAAAGATTAAAAGAAGAAAAAAACGAAAATTAGGTCAGGGCATCCTATCACAATTGCATGATGGATGTGATATAGTTGAGATCTATAGAAAATAATTCGTTGTCAGGACTTGAACAATTTATAAATTTTGAAAAAAATTTAACCATCTTGCTATAGAGATTTCTTTGTTAATTTGTGAACAAAAATAACTTTTACATAAAGAAACTATTAAACAGGAAAAAAAAAGAGGAGAAAAAAAATTACTTATGTCATAATTGTAGCAAAATTTCTAAAATTGCAAATAAAAAAAAAAACAAGAAGAGACATTTGGTTACTGAAGCAAAATAGAATCTTTCATTATTCAAATTCTTACAAAAGATAGTAACCAAATGTCTCTTCTTGTTTTTCTTTATTTGCAATTTTAGAAATTCCGCTACAATCATGACATAAAGAATTTTTTTTTTCCTATTTAATAGTTTCTTTATGTAAAAGTTATTTTTGTTCACAAATTAACAAAGAAATCTTTATGGTAGAATCGTTAAAATTTCTTCAAAATTTATAAATTGTTCAAGTCTTGACAGTGGATCATTTTCTTTTCTTTTATTTATCTAAAGTGTTTATTTATTAGGCCAAATAAACTTTAAATCCATTATATAGATTTAGTGCAATGAGATAATCTTTAGTGATAATTGAACTAATTATGTATAATAGATCAACAACTTAAATATTTAATGATAATTTTTAATTTTTTAGATTCAAAAAATAAATCATGTGTTTATTTGAGTCAATATAAAATACAAATAAAATAAGGTTAAGGAAGGAAGAAGAACAAATCACAATAAAATAATAATAATTAAAACGACAAAAAGAAACACCAAATAGTTAGGAATAGTTTTTATTTATTTATTTATGTGTTTCAAGTTTAGAATGGATTTGATTTGATTAAGAAAAGAATAAAGATCATGTAAAGGCGTCCTTACTTGGTTAAA